GAATGTGCACCACCTTAAAGGGAGCTGGGCTGGGCCTCAGCTCAAGAAGCTTTTAGTCCCACACCCCAGGCACCCCACGTCCCAGGCCTTTCCATGTCAGGGGTTATGTACTCATTTAACTTGCATTCAGCTCTACAAGTTCAGTGGTCATCTTTTTCTTCCACATAATCCAAGGTACTAATAAGATTCCACCTTGCACTTATACAGTATTATATTCTGTATGTCACTATATACATACATATGTGCATATAGCCACAAAGAATTGTTTATACAAAGCTTTGGGTGCTGTATTTTATGGGAGATTTAAGGGATTTTCAAGGGTAATTTTGCTAATACACCATTTTTACCTTCAGGGACTGATTTTAGAGCCTAGCTTTAGATGCAACTTCACTGTGATTTAGAATTTTTTCTAAAGAGCCTGCAAACTAAATCAAACTCTGCAAGGCATACCTAAGGAGCTTCCTTTGCCTGAAAAGTGTTTATGAACAATGAGAAATTCTGTGTTCCTTGCATGGCATAGAGGTCAAGGCCTACTCACAGCTCAAGAGAACATTGAAGGGCTGGGTCTCTGTGACCACCAGCTGCGGTATGGCTTGGCAGGAGCCATTTCTGGGAAAAGCTGTTTTCTGTCCCTGGTTCCAACTAGTCCCTCTGGCTGGGGAACCATCACCCTTCTGTCCTTGAGCCAGGGCTCTGCTCTGGTGAAGGGCAAGGATACTGCTGAGTATTTCTAAGAACAGAGGAACAAGCCGTGTTTTATTTCTTAGGGTCACGTCGTGGACAATCACAAGCTGGAAGTGAGGATCTCAGAACGAGCCACCAAGTGAGTCTTTGGTGTCTTTCTCTTTCCTTTGATGAGAGCCGGTCCTTTCTGTTCTTGGTGCTGGCTGCCCAGGAGGGTGTCACATGGCCCTTGAATGTTCTTTCCACTTGACCCCCCTCACCATTTAGGACTCTTCCTACTTAAGGTGGTAACACATTTGGCAGCTCCATTTCCCTGGTGAACTGGGACCATGCTAGTCCTTTGGGTGAATGTAGAATACATTTTTTTTTTAATACTAAAAGGAACAAATGCAGGAGAAACAAGCAAATAACACTCATCTTGCTGGTTTAAATAAACCAAGCAAGAGTTGCAGGTCAGTTGGTGCTTCATTTTGTTTTGC